GGATCGCGCTCTTCCTGCAGAACGAAGAGTTCCTGAAGGAGCTCCAGAGGAACCGGGATTTCCTCCTCGCCCTGGAGAGAGGTGAGAAGCGCCTTCAGAAACATCTGCCTCAGTTTTTCGGGTGTGTGCTTCCCCCTGTGATGCTGGCCACTGGCAGCGTTGCCTTTGACATGGTGGCTCGTGCCAAAGCAGAGCCAGCGCAGAATGTGGCCGGGCTGGTGATCCGACCGGCTGACCCTGAGCACTGGGCTGCTCCCCAGGCTCCTGCTCCTGGTGCTCAGCCGCCTGCCACGAGGCTCTCCTCTCCCTCACCGCCTCTCTGCGGTGTCTCTGGCAAAGCCCAGTAAAATCCACAGCAAGGAGCCTCAGAAATGTGCTCGGAGCCCAGCCTGGCTGGTGAACCCTTCCCGGCTGCGTGCCCTCCCCAGGTGCTGGCAGGGCCTGAACTGGAGAGCAGTTTTGCCATGATTACTTCTTCCCCGTCACCACACTCCCTCCCAGCGCGCCGGCAGCTGACTGCTCACCCAGCGCCATGGGGAGAGCTTGAGGGTGTCAGTGTTTTTTCTGCCGCTGAGCAACGAGCCACCCTTCCCCTCCCTCGCCCTGCCGCCGGCTCTGAGCCCCCCGGCCGAGGGGCCGTCTCCCTCAGAGGACTCGCTGGTGGTTTGCAGGGTTATGGCAGGACCCTCAGTGCCTGGCTCCTGCCGCGGCTGGAAAACCACCGACATGCTTGCGGCATGCTCGCAGTTCCTCTGCGGCGGCGAGAGGAGCGCTCCCGCCTGCTGCTGTGGGCTCCCACCAAAGCACTTGTGGTCGCCGTGCTGCGGCGAAGGGCTTTCAGCGCCGGGGCGGTGAAGGCGCTGGGAGAAGGGCTGCCTTCCTCCTGTGCTCAGCCCTGGCCCTGCTCCTGCTGTGCCGAGCCCAACCGGGCACAGAGGACAGCATCCTCGTTCCCCAGCTGCGGCAGGGGAGACGTTTGCTGTCCCTGGAGCATGGCAGAGACCGGAAGCGTGTCCTTAGGGAGGAGCACATCTCTGGAGAGCTTTTATAGCTTTTTTACTAGATCATTTCTACCTTGTTTCTACATCTTGTCCTGCTGCAGGACGTACTGTGGCAGAAGGTGGTTCCATGTTACCTTGGGGCTGGAGCTCAGCTGCACAGAAACTCCCTTGCTGGGCTGTGTCGGGCCATTCCTGGGGTGGCTGAGCTGCTGTGGGATGCCGGGAAGCCCGAGCTCCCTCCCTGTCCATCAGCCTGTCCCTCCGCAGCCATGGGGGCCATGAGAGGAGAGGAGAGGGGAGCGGAGCCGCATGCGCTGCCTCGGGGATCTGATTGAGCGGGGCGCTGGGCTTTTTGTTTTTCAGATCGATTGAAATATGAGTCAAAAAAATCCAAGTCGACCAGTGTTGCTGTCAGCAACGACTTTGGTTTCTCCTCCGTAATATCAGGTAACTTTCAAGATGCACGCGAGCAATGCCTCTCAGCAGCTCTCGTGTTCCCAGCCCTCTGCCACTGCCGCCTGCCTCCGCGGTGGCTGCGGGGGGAGGAAACTGGCTGATCCCTCCCTGCTGCCCCCCAGCGCGGGATAGGAGCTGGTGGGTGATGGGGATGGGTGCTGCTGCCCTCCCTGCCCACCCCACATGGAGGTGCTCCTGCCTCCTGCCTCCGTCCATCCCTGCGGGCGGGAGCTGGGATCCAGTTCCCAGGGGAGACAAAGCCCTCCCTTGTCTTGGCCGGAGCGGAGGATTGTGCCTGGGAGGCATAATGACTGTTCCTGGGTAATCCTGATTAACCTCGGGGAGTGGAGCAGCTGCCCAAGTTCAGAATTAGAGCTGGTGTCTGTTGATGTCCCCGCGCGGGGACAGGCGAGACGCAGTGGCTGGGCGGTGTGGCAGAGCCCCGCTGGGCGCACGGCGCTTCGAGGGCACCCAGACCTGGGGAGGGGGCATGGGCTGAGGGGAGGGGGCACAGGGACACTGTTGGGGTCACCGGTCCACCTGACCGTGTTACTGGGATGCCTGAACTTCTGCTCCTGATCTGGTGGCCCCGCCGTGCCAGGTACTAAACATGGGCACAGTCTATCACCCAGAGTGCAGTTAGTGCCCGGGGTAATTTGGGGCTGCTGTCCCTGGAGCAGCACAGAGGGACGCCTCCTGCTCTGCAGCGGTGCTGGTGGTGGGACTGAGCTGCCGCTCGCCCCATGTCTGCTCGCAGGCGGCTTGAGATGAGCAGCCCCACGGGGCTGAGGGTGTGCCACAAGCCGAGCTCTCTGCCCCCACGGTCTCGGGGGGTTATATCTGCAGAGGGTCCTCGTCCAGAGCCAGCCCCGGCATACCAGCGCTCTCCTCCTGCCTGCTCTCGCTCAGCTCTGCTCGTGGCAGGGCTGCGCTTCGCTAGCGCTGGAATTGGGTCATGGAAATGATTTGTCTCGAGCCTCGCCGCGCACGCACTCCCGGTGACCAGATGTTTGCCTTCCAGGTGACGTAGCCCCCTCTGTAACCAGCGAGGCCGGCGGTGCCGTGTCTGACGATGCCTTATTCAGAGACAAACTGAAACACATGGGAAAATGTAAGTCAGTTTGCAGGCTCCGTGTTGGCAGCGGGATGCCTGCGGGGGCTGGAGGGGAGGTGGGACCGGGCCGGGCAGGGGGAGAGCCGGCAGCATTACCTGCGGCGCTCCCCGTTCATGCAGCATGTCTGCTCTTTGCTAGCACGTGTGCGTGGGGTTTTCTTGTCACCTCTCTTGGCAGCTGCGCACACACGTCCCCGTTACCCTGCGAGTCACACAGAGGGCTGGCGTGTCGGAGTGCAAAGCACACGCTGTTGTGCACTTGCGGTGACACGTTGTGCGCAGACGGTGCTCAGCCCCAGCAGCAGTGCTTTGGGGTCGAGTTTCCATCTGCATTTTACAGTCCTGGGCTGGCACATCCCTGCGCTGTGGTGCTCTCCTCCTGGCCCTCACCAGTGGCAGGAAGTTCCTGTGCCACACGTTGGGGCACAAAGGACAGGAGATGGAGATCTGGGTCTTGATGCCCCAGCTCTGCGCTGTCTGTCCGTCCCTGGTGCACGTGTGGGTTGTGGTGTGAGTTGAGGATGCAGGTGTTGGGGAACAGAGGAATTTCTGAGCAGGGTTTGTGTGAATCCTAGAAAAGAAAGAAGAGGGTTTGCTGTAACTCTCCCTTTTCCAATCCTTTCCTCTTGGCACGTCACAGCCTGCTTCTCCCACTGCAAAACAGACCAAGGTCTTTGGGCAGCTTGAGTGGGGCTGCAGCCAGCTGAGACACTGGGGAGATGTGGGTCAGTCGTGGGTAGGGACGGTCACGAAAACCAGAGTGAAAGGATAAAAACATCAGCACACCCCGCCAGGGACCACCATGTCCCCATTGCCCGCAGGACCTGGCTCTGAGCCTGGCAGTCCTGCGTGGCACCAGTGTTTCTGGGCAAACCCGGGGCATTGCCGTGGGGTGTCAGGATGTGGATGGCTCTCACACCGCTGGCCCTGGCTGTCTCCTCCCCATCGCCCGTGGCAGCTTTGGGAAGGGTTTATAGGTGAGACCCTCACTTGGCTGCTTCCTTCCAGCCACTCGCAAGAAGCTGTTTGAACTCGCCAGAGCCTTCTCTGAGAAGACAAAGATGAGGAAATCGAAAAGAAAACACTTGTTGAAGCACCAGGTGTATCCTAAAAGGGGCTGGGGAGCTGCTGGGGGGTGCAGGGCTGTCGGAGCGGCCTCGCTCAGTTGCTCCTGGGGACTCCCCAAGGCCATGGTCTGGCTAGAGCCTCCGGGCTGCCTCTCACGGCTGCGCTGTGGGCTGGGAAAGGCGATTGTGGTACCGCAGCCATGTCCTGGCCCCACAACTGGTTTTCCTTAGCGGAGGGTGCAGGATGGGGACGGCAGCTTCCACGGCAAATCTTCTCGACGATGTCGAAGGACATTCGTGCGGTAAGAAACATCGTGCCTTGCGATGCCCTGCGTGCTCTGCTCAGTATGCTTACCTGGGGTCCTGCGGTGCCCGGCCCTGTCCTGCCTCACGCCATGGTCCTGCTGGAGTGGGTTCCCGTTGGAGCCGTGCTGGGGCATGGCCACCCGTGCAGTGGGCTCACCCCTGGTCCCACGTGGCTCTCCTGTGAGCGTGCACTTTGCCAGGGTGACCGGAGATGGGATCTCTCTTGGGGAGTCTTGGGGACTCGCAGACAGGCTGTGCAGCTCTGCGGGATGTGTAGCTCGGGGTCGGGGCACAGTTCCGGTAAATCTGTCATCAGCCAGATTTGCACAGAGGTGGGTCTTGGCAGTGGGTTTTGTGCCAGCTCTGACCACCCCGGGGCTGGCTCAAGTGCAACCGCGCGGCAGAGATGCCCCCGTGGGCCAAAACCTCCTTCCAGTGTTCTCAGGTGTGTTCTGGCAGAGTTGCCGTGTCCCAGTCTCTGGCGATTGTCTGTCTGGGTGAGGAAATCCCTGCCCTGGCATCCTCCCCGCTGGGGCTGGCACCTGGCGTGGTGGCATCCCTGCGTGGGAGCTGCTGCAGCCCCCAACAGCCCCCAACTGCCTCTGCCTTTCAGATGAAGACTTCCAAGCGCGGAGGCAGCAGCTTCGGGAGGAGGAGGAGACGCCGAAGGAAGGGCAGTAAATGGTGAGAGGCACCTGGGGACGAACGCTTCCCGGTGAGCGTGCGAATGGCCCCGTCCGTCTGTCCGTCTGTCCTGGCTGGGTGCTCTGTGTGTCCCGGTGCCACAACGGGCCGGTGCCGGTGCTGGCCACGGTGCAGCTGAGGCTGAGCACGTGTCGTTCTCCTTCCCTCCCCTTCTGCTCCCCTCCAGGTCCCAGCGCTGGGGTTTATTGCTGGCACAGCCCGTGCACAAGGCTTCATAAGAAGATGGCTGAAAAAGGAAAAAAAAACACCCAACAAATAACCCATTCTTTTGGCTGTTCCCCCTCTGCCGTTGTACTCCTCTGAAGTACGAGTATTGAAGTGAGGCACAATGTTTTCTTACCAGCGGTTTGAAAACAACTTCTCCTATCTAGCAAATCAGCCAAAAAGGAAAAAAAAAAAAAAAAAAAAAAAAAAGGAAAAGAAAGTCGGCAGCTGCTGTGAGCTGCTGTGGAGGAGCCGGTGGAGCTCAGCCTTGGGAGGAGCAGCATCCCGCCTGCTCTCTCGGTCCGAGCGGCATCGCAGGAGGAATGAAAATCAGTTGTACTAACGAGGATGCATTCACATGTGGGATCTGCTTGGCTGGAGCACTCCTGAACATATCTCTGTAGCGATCTGATGTAACTTTACTCTGCACACACAGGGGAAAAAAAACCCCAACCACGTGAGAAAGAACCTAACAGCCGTTGTCTACTATTGCTAGGAGTAATGAGCAGAGATTCAGATCAGGTAATAGTCAAATAATATAAATTGTTTATAAAAGGAAAGGCCTTCTTTTCCTAGGCGTTTCACTTTGAATTAAACCTTTGCCTTCGGCATTGCTAAAACTGCCTTGAAGTCCAGACGCTTTGTGGTCCGCGGTGTGGCTCACCTCCCGGCCGGGCCGGTGCCGCCGCGGGGTAGGACGGCCGGGCAGCGCCAAGGGCTGGATTTCGCATCAGTTTAACCCTCACTGCCGAAGCAGGACATGTCCCGTCGGGTGCGACGTGCAACTGGTGGTCCCGGCTGCCGGGCAGGATGCTTGGTGGCTCCGGGGATGACCCCTGCTGTAGGTAAGATGCAAAGCCTGAGCTGGGGGGTTTGGAGCTGAGGCCGGTGGAGGTGTTTTCGGCACAGAGTTTGCACAAGGGCTTGCGAGCGCTGCCGGATTTGGTGCGGGGCCGGTGCTGGCCCGGTGGCAGGAGTGGAGCATCTTTCCTCGTGCCCGTCCCGGGGGCTCGTTTCACCGGGGAGCGTGGCGGAGGGCTGGGGGGGCTGGCAGGCAGCACTGAATCATTGCAGCGTTCAGAGATGCTGTCAGGCTAAAAATAATTACGTAAACAAATTCCTTCCCTGTGTAAGTAATGAGTGACGAGCTTAAAGTCAGAAATCGCTCCCGCCAGCACATTTTCTTCTCCTTTATCGGCATAATCTGTTTACTGCTAAATGCAGGAGGTGGCTATAGACGTGACTGTTTCACTTTCTGGCTCCTGCGAACCAGCACAAATGTTGCAAGATTGGAGCTGCGAAGGCGGCAGACGCAGAAGCCCCAGCCATCAAACACACACGCAACTGTTTTCCCTGCCTCTCCGCGGGGTTTGGTAACAAAAGCCCACATTGCAGGCGCTGGCTCCCGACAGGCTCCTCTTC